ATATACAGTAAATGCATGGTACTGTATTCACATTATATTCATTGTAACACTATTTTTATGGAAGGAAGCAGAGTATATATATCATGAGTCCCTATCAATTTGTATATAAACATTGTCTCCAATATCTTCACATTCTAGTACAGACGATTAAAAAAAAGATATGAAAACACGGCATGTATGGACTAGAGAGTCATAAAACTCCAGACCAACGTGCTAGCCACTGGGCCAGCTGGCTACAGTACGGTTTGTCCAACTAGGTATATTTATACACCATAGGAAGGTGAGCATACGCACCACTGTGACCACAAATGCAAGTTTTTACAGACGAATCTCCTGCCAGCTGGCCCAGTGGCTAGTGCGTCGGTCTGGAGTTTTAAGACTCTCTGATCGTGGGTTCTATTCCCACCTGTGGAATGGTTTGTTTGCAATCGTGTCATTACGATTTCGTGAGTCAATGTCACAAGATTATCCCTTCACTTCACGTTTATATATTGTACTTTCCACACTTTAATATAACTCACTAACACACTCAACATTTGTGTAAATACAACTAGGATAATTGATTGACTTTTAATGGCATAGCAATGTATAGTTGCAGTGAAATTAATGGTTACTAGCCTTCTTGTATGTGCTTTTACCACGTACAAGAAGTATAGTTGCTCTGTCATAGATGATTTTAATGGAGTTGTGATTAAAAATGTGCTGCAATTTTGCAGTACAGCCTCTCCTCACTTAGCGGCGTACTCATTTACCGCCTTATGACAGGCTCTCTGACCAATATGCATACCTAAATAATGTATATTAGAGCTGATTTCCTCTGTTTTGTTTATTACCATATACAGTACAGTACGTACTGTATAAACATTTAAAAATATACGAGAAATGTTATAAATGGTGCAAGGTGACAATAAAACATTATGAAAGATGGTTGACAGAAACCCACTACCATTAGAGTATGCTCCTCACTTAGCGATGAATTTGTTTACCGATGTAGTCTTAGGAAAGGAACTCCATTGCTAAGTGAGGAGAGGCTGTAGTTGCATGTTGAAAACATAATACAGTGGACCCCCGGTTAACGATATTTTTTCACTCCAGAAGTATGTTCAGGTGCCAGTACTGACCGAATTTGTTCCCATAAGGAATGTTGTGAAGTAGATTGGTCCATTTCAGACCCCCAAACATACACGTGCAAACGCACTTACATAAATACACTTACATAACTGGTCGCATTCGGAGGTGATCGTTATGCGGGGGTCCACTGTATAACATCATGTCTTCATCGCCAGTCTACTGTGTGCATATGTACAGTAGGGCCTCACTTATACGGCGGGTTAGGTTCCAGGCTGTCGCCGGAAAGCAGACATCGCCGGAAGGCAGAACTCCATTTCTTTCCATTTATAAATGCATGTAAATGCCAGACAACAAGTTTACACTAAATTATATTAAGTTAGTAATAGAACTAGGCATTAAAAAAACACAAAGTAAAATACAGTCACAGTAAATTCATTACTTATCTTAAAGTATTTGTAATCTTAATGTAGGGAGAGAGGTGAGTAGTACTTATTTGTAGGAAGTCAGGTGCAGGTAGCCCAGGTGTAGGTAGCACTGGCTCCCCGTCTCATACTTAATATACGATATTTAAAGCATCCCAGAGGTAAAATACACATACAGTACACTTATTATTTACCTTAAAATATGTGTAGTCTTAATATAGGAAGAGAGGCAAGTAGTATTTATTTGTAGGAAGTCAGTGTAGGAAACCGGGTAGGTGTAGCCTGCCTGGCTACACCTACCGGCTACCTACACTGTGGCCCAGAGCCATATTATTAACATCGACTTTGCCTTGTCCACTGAATTTAATCATTTCTAACAACTACCTTTAATGCCATCATAAACGAAGGTAGAAGTAATGAAAATTTTCATGCCGAAAATTGAAACAAAAGCGGAGTGGGGTAGTGGTTTGGGCCCAAACGCAGATTCATACACGTTTTCTCTGATGGCTGAACAGAAAAAACGTAATGTTGGCCCTCCCCCCCGGCTACCACACAGCTCCACAAGAAATTTTTTATCAAGGACACATAAAATATGCAATAACTGCCAGACAACAAGTTTACACTAACTTATATGAAGTTACAATGGAAATGGGCATTAAAAACAAAATAAAAGGTAAGATACACCCCAGAGTACACTTATTATTTACCTTAAAATATTAATATTAATGTGTGAGGGGTTTGAGTGGCAGGGTGTTTATTGAATAAAATCAGAATGGCACACCATCATGCTCTAACTTGGCACTTAAAGCAAGAGGCTTATGACTTCTCTTTTTATTACAGCTAACCTTAGACGCCATCGTCAATGAGAGCCAACTAGTTAACGAAAGAGTAAACGAGAGAGAGAACGAGATACAAAGTTGAGACAATGTAAGAACACAAACTGAACAGGTAGTGGACGATCACTTGGTCAGGCGAAATAAATGCGTATTAATAAGTGTCTACTTTTAGTTCATTCATGTCCATTTGTAAGAATTTGTAAAACTCTTACAAATTTTTTTATTTTAATAATAATTACCTCACAATACAAATACTCTTATATTGTGTACAAGTTAGGTCAGAATAAACAAACAGCAACACACCATTTTTAGAGTGAATGAAGGTAATAATATTATTATTATTAATAATAATAATAATTATAATTATTATTATTAATTATAAAAAGCACTAAACCCACAAGGGTCGTGAATTGCTATATATAGAGTAAAGGCATACGAAAAGAATATGTTTCTACAGTTATCCCGCAGGGTTTGACTAGAGAAAATGTAATTCTTCCGACACTACCTACACAGCTGCTTTGTAAACAAATCTCGTATTTACATCAATTTTTATTTTGTGAGGGGTATTATCATGTTTATATGCTATGTAATGGGTTTCATATATAATTTTGAGGAAAATATCATAGATGGATTAATGAAAATGCCTATATTGATGTAAAATAAGACATTTAGTGTGCCCAAGAGTGATTATTATTATGTAGTATTGGCGTCATGAGTAGAGAGAGACTTAGCGATTTTAATGTGTACCTGCACACCAGCACAGTGTGTAAGTATATTTAGGTACAGGTACACATAAGTATAATTATCAGAATACATATAAAATATGCAGAATTTTAAAAACACTTGAAATTTTGAATTTTCCTTTTTAATATGTGTAGGAAAATGTAACATGTAATCTATGGTGTGGGCCAGATATTTGAAAAAAACTGCATGGATAAAATTTGGCCATAATTTAGACATTACCTATTGTGGAAACGTCGTAGAGGGAGAACTACCGATTTTAAAGTGTACCGCAACCAGCACGTGTGTAAGTATATTTGACAGGTACATAAGTATATTATCAGTATACATATAAATATGCAGAACTTTAAAACACTTGAAATTTTGGAAGTCCTGCTAATAGATGTGGTCACGGAAAAGTAAACAATCGGTGGGGGCGCCGTATTTGAACAAGCTTGCTATAGCAAATTTGGTCATAATTGACATCACCGTATTAGTGCAACGCACGTCAGGCGAAACACCACAAGTGGGCCTTGACTGTATGTATCACTTATATGTTAGCACGAGGCAGCACATATGCACACACCACGCACATATGCACACACATATGCACACATACTGCCTCTTACATATGCTATACACATATCCACATTATCACTCACCTCACACTCCGCACACCTCTCGTCACAGCCGCATCATCATCTTCACACGTCTACATCCCTCGCACCCATCTCACACTCCACATCATCTACACCACATACTTTCTCTTTTTCTCTCTCATTCTCTCTTTCTTCTCTCTCTCTCTCTCTCTCTCTCTCTCTCTCTTCTCTCTCTCTCTCTCTCCTCTCTCTTTCTCTCTCTCTCTCTTTCCTCCTCTCTCTCTCCTCTTTCTCTCTCTCTTCTTCTCTCTTTCTCTCTCTCTTTCTCTCTTTCTCTCTTCTCTCTCTTCTTTCTCTCTCTCTTTCCTTCTCTCTTTCCTCTCTTTCTCTCTCACTTTCTCTCTCTCTTTTCTCTTCTTCTCCTCTCTCTCTTTCTCTCTTTCTTCTCTCTCTTTTCTCTCTCTCTTCTCTCTCTCTTTCTCTCTCTCTTTCTCTCTTCTCTCTCTCTTTCTCCTCTTTCTCTCTCTCTTTCTCTTCTCTTCTCTCTCTCTCTCTCTCTTTCTCTCTCTTCTCCTTCTCTCTCTCTTTCTTCTCTCTCTTTCTCTCTCTCCTCTCTTTCTCTTCTCTCTCTCTCTCTCTCTCTCTCTCTCTCTCTTCTCTCTCTCTCTCCTCTCTCTCTCTCTCTCTCTCTCCTCTCTCATCTCTCTCTTTTCTCTCTCTTTCTCCTCTCTTCTTGTCTCTCTCTCTTTCTGTCTTTCTCTCTCTCTCTCTCTCTCTCTCTCTCTCTCTCTCTCTCTCTCTCTCTCTCATGAATTTTCAGTCAGCATTATAATTTTAATATATTTTTATTATTCATTGATACCAAGCAGATTGGAAATTTTATTAGAACTTTTTTTTGGTAATTTGAGAGTTATGTTATTTAAATTTTGGCTTTTTGCATAAATCGAATATAACAAAACATCATTTTGTAGGAACCGAATTAAATTTTTTCAGGCATTTATGTCTGGGTGTATTATTACTCCATCTCAAAGTGGTGTCGAAGAAACCAAAAGCTATGTAGAGTATGACATACTCAACAACGGTGTGATGTATGTGGCTCTCTCTTTGAAACAACTTTGATAAGTAGCTGGCATTCTATCTGGACTAAATTTATATGCCACAGATTTCATTGTGCAGATGATACAGCAATGCCATATTATTGAAATAAGCAGCAAATGGCACATGAACAGTTCGATTTGATGCTGGGATGTTTGTTTGGCTAGCGATGATATGTCTGGTGCATTGCAGGGCTTTATTTGGCCATCTAAGCTGCTGCCACCTGAGACTAAAGTACGGGTGTCGGTCTCTTCCAGAGTGCTGGGGACTCTCTTCTTGGCACGTGGCGTAACATGAAGCAAGATCCGGATTTGGCTCCTCGAACTATCCTCGGGCTAGGCTCCCACTTGTCCTCAAACTTAATGAGGGCGGATACCACAACATCTGCTGCAGGAGGCATGTACCATGCTCTGGTGGATGCTACAGGTTCCTGCGTTACAGGAAGTCGCACTGATGCGAAGTCCCACGTGTCTTCAAACCCTGGCGGCGCAAGTGCTCGAAGTGATTTCAAGGCATCAATTAACCCCCATGCAGCAGCTGCTATTGGATTGGATGATACTGTTGAACGCCCCTATCCTTGCCATTTTTGCGACTCCCGTTTCAAAAAAAAACAGCATCTTCAAAACCATGAGCGAATACACACAGGGGAGAAGTATGTTTGCACTCTGTGTGGCCAAGCATTCAGTCGGATGCATATACTGAAGCATCATCTTGAAAGAAAACATGTAGATCCATCCAATCCAGACTATCATCTAGACCCATAAATTTATCTAGACATTTCTGCTTGCAAAAATTTGTCTTGACATGAAATTTTGGTAGCTAGTTTTGTAGTTATATTTCTTCTGAAGAACAAGTTAGTTATCTACAGTGTATCAGATGTACAGGAAGTTTTATTGTGCACGCCTCCTTTGTCTTAACTTAAGCAAGACATGATACGTATGAAGAAGAGTTGCATTTGTTTGTGAATAGCTTAATATTTGCAAAATAATATAAAGTACTGTATTAGCATAATTCATGTTGAGCGTGTTGAAATTTTATAAATAAAATGTACTAAGAATTACTTACAATTAATGATCCTGATACTAAGACATTGATGTGATTGTGGAACGTCATGCATATTTTCATGTACTGTTTATGTAGTGTACAAAAGTTTGAGAGAATTACAAGCTGCCTTACATTAATGAGGCTTTCTACTTCAAAAAATATACATCAGTCATCTTTTTTGTGTTGCTATTTCTGCACAAAAAAATAAGTTGGTAAATGTAAATGATAGCATATAAATTCTATTCTTTCCTGTAGTAAAATGGACATTTTTGTTTGTTTTTTTCCTGGTTACTACTGGAATTATACACATTTAGTAAATATAGCAACATTTATTGAAGGGATTCATAGAAACTGGTTAGCTGGACTGGAGTTCTGAAGGTGGGAAAGGCAGTGGTTGTTCATTGAAGAAAGTGTGGGGATGTTGCAGTTGAGATGGTTTTCTGAATATTAATGTCAGTATACACTTGGTAAGACAGCAATGGAATGAATAATGGTAAATGTGTTTGCTTGGAAATGCATGTGTGTGTGTGCATGCGCACATGCATACACATACACGTTTATATAGTAAATTCTTGACTTAATAACTTCGAAAATATGGGACAAAATGTGTTTAGGTCATCCGATTCATATATAATGGAAAAAGTCCATTGATATTTTACTGGATGACTGTTACAGGCCATCCCTGCTAAAACAAGTACATACTGAAGGTGATGCTTTTGAGAAAGTAATATGTTAAATGTTTAGCGAGACTATACAAGAGATGTACAGAAAACTACTGACTCTGGCTTTGGCTCCCAGTCATATTATGAGATCACAGATTTCTATATCTAACTCTTCAGTGTATATCTATCTGAATTGTCGATGTAAATATTTTGTGTGAATTATGTATGAGGAGTTGACAATGTTGTGTTCAATGGAAGAGAAAGTAATTAGTCTGTTATGCCTTGGCTGAACCGAAGCAAGAGTTAGTAGGGAAATAGGATGCCTCCATGTGTGTCAAATTTAACTCCTATGTTGATAATATAGCAGGGGCAGTTGCTGGCAGGAGGCTTGACTCTACATCTCATTACTTATCTTGAACAAACGAGGGAGAGAGAAGGAGTAAGATGACAGAGCTGCAGAGTACTTATGTAAAGAAACCATCTGGTTATTGTTGATACATGTTCATACAAACACCTTACATTGTGTAGAAGTTGTCTCAACTGTGGTACAGTAGAATAAATAAAGATCAACACTTTCATTCTCATGTAATTTTTAGAAGGAATGATGCTCTAACAAATTATTATTATTATTATTACAAATTATTATTATTACAAATTATTATTATTACAAGTTGTAATTATTACAAGTTGTTATTATTACAAGTTATTATCATCATAAAAAAGAAGTGCTAAACCCACAAGGGTCATGAATAGCTATAGATAGAGTGAAGGCATATGAAAGGAATAAATTTCTAGTTAAGTTATTGGTGTTTGACTAGAGAATTATGTCAATTTTTATACTGTGGGTGTATGTAACATGTTTATATGTTATGTAGTGTGTTTATTATATAATTTTGAAAAAATATCATAGATGGATTAATGGAAATGTCTATATTAACATAATATATGACATATAATGTGCCCAAGAGATTACATGGCATCAAGAGTAGAGAGACCCTTAATGATTTTAATGTGTACCTGCACGCTAGCGCAGTGTGTCAATATATTTAGGTACAGGTACAGGTCCTCCATCACAAATCCGGCATCATTGGGACCTGTAGTGTGCCGGATTACTGAGTTTGCCGAATTACAGAGTGGTTAGGTTAGAATACACTTAATAAAATTAACTAACTTGACTTACACAGTTCATTGAACATCGGCAAAAATCGAACATTTCCACTACTTTGAGCTCAATTTCAAGGTACTTTTCGTCATGAAAGCAATCAAAATCATGTCTATTTCTGTAATATATCTTCCATTCTATCAAATGAGAATACAACCATAAAAACCTTACGAAAATATACTGCAAAGAGGCGGCAAATGGCTGAGAAGTGAACTCCCTTATTTATCGTCCGTCTTTTTTATTTTTGTTTTACTTTAAGAAGCATCTTTCCATCATACATTGCCCAAGTTTCAATGAGATAGCCCAACAAACAACCGAGAAAAAAAAAATATTTACCAAAAATCATATATGGCAAGCCCAAGCCAGGTACTGGAAATAAGTCACTTTGTCTGACTTTTCTGGGTTATCCTAGGCTCTCTATACATACACTGCTTTGTATGATAATCTATGTAACTGTATTTGTGTATACCTGAATAAACTTATTTACTTCTAGTCTGTCAACTGAGTACAAGAAACCGCACATTCACTTATTTCAACTACCCAATAAAGTGGTCAGAAATTGGCAATTTGGCCGATTTCACACAAATTTCAACAGATGCCAATTTCAAAATAGGGTCCAGAATAAACAGTGCAGACATTCCTGGCACTAAAATAACATTTTCTCTGTTGTAGATGAATGGTTCCATGAACCGACACGTTGTTAAATTAGACACACGTGCAACTCTTGGGTATCTTTATTGAGGAAATGTTTCGCCACACAGTGGCTTCGTCAGTCCATACAAAGGATAAACTTGAAGAACAGGAGGAGAATGAGGTAATCAGTCCCTCAACCTTGAGTCGATGTGGTCAGTCCATCAATCTTGAATAGAATACGGCATATGAGCGGAGAAACGGCTTATAAACCGTTTGGTTAATACTTTGGAATTCTTCACTTGCCTCACCCTTGGGCATGACCTACTTCCACATTGGACAAATGTGACACCACCTACCACTGCTGCACCTCTCCTGCCAAACAGTTTATAAGCTGCTTCTCCGCTCATAAGCCGTATTCTATTCAAGATTGATGGACTGACCACATCGACTCAAGGTTGAGGGACTGATTACCTCATTCTCCTCCTGTTCTTCAAGTTTATCCTTTGTATGGACTGATGAAGCCACTGTGTGGCAAAACGTTTCCTCATTTTCTCTGTTCATTAGTCACGTCTCCAGGGCCCTCTTATATTACTCTTGCTTACCATTTGGAATTTTTATTCACAAAAAAATAGAAGATTTACTGTTATGCAGACTTCTGCATTATTGTAATAATTGTATAAATAATGTCAATCCATTCTTGACTCCGTACTGGAATTTAGACTGGCAGGCGAACAGGTATTGGACGGTGACGTCATTTGTTTACTCTTGAGCTTTGCTAAAGAATAGAACATGTTTGCTACTGTGAGCACAATTTCAAGGTACTTTTCGTCATGAAAGCAATCAAAATCATATCTAATTTCTGTAATATATCTTTCATTCTATCAAATGAGACCGAAAAATTGAGAATATAACCATAACAACCATACAAAAATATACCGCTAAGCGGCCGCTAATGGCTGAGAAGTGAACTCCGCTATTTATGGTGTGATTTCTTTCATATTTGGTGTACGTGAAGAAGTATCTTTCCATCTTACATTGCCCAAGTTTGAATAAGATAACCCAACAAACAACTGAGAAAATAATAATTATATAATAATAATAATAATAATATCTTTATTTACTACACGTACATGTACGAGGTATACAGGCCTAGCTGACATCAGTGACATACTACTGTATAGAAAGGCACTTGTTATGCTGAGTATTTCAAGAAAATTAGGTCAGTGTCCCAGGATAACACCCACACTAGTCGGCTAACACCAAGGTATCCATTTATTGATGGTTAAACATAGACAACAGGTGTAAAGAAACACGCCTAATGTTTCTACCCTGGCTGGGAATCAAATATTTACCAAAAATCATATATGGCTAACCCAAGCCAGGTACTAAAAATAAGCCACGTTGACTTTTTTGGGGTTATCCTAGGTTCTCTACACATATGCTGCTATGTGTCATAATCACTAGAGAGAAAATAACTTTTTTGTTTCATGCTTTTGGTGGAGTACGAGTGCATATCATAATTAGCCCTGTGCTATACTCCGTTTTCTCTAATATAAGCCACCAAGACAAGGATAGGAGAATGGTATTTGTTTACCATATCCTCTTCATAACTCTGTCGAACTGCTCGGTGTTATGCCAAATATTATTCATTCTGGAGTATTTAACATGTTTTATGTTATTTATATTGTTTCTTATGTCATATTAGATCAATTGTGATAGGCAAATAAGCTGTAGTGTTGATATTAGCGTAATAATAAGCATATTCTCCTGCTTCATGAGACTGAGCTCATGGCATCCGACAGTGGCTTCAAAGCCACCTTATCTTTAATGGATAATGTACTGTGTAGGTGCTTACATAATGAGAAGCATTTCTTTTATTCATTGGAACCATGGCTAGGGCTAAAAGTAAGCAGGTTAAAACAATAAATGGAGAAAAAGAAATTGGAATGACTTATGCAGCAAGTAGCACCACCAAGCAGTGCCAGCAGGTTGGTGTGGCAACCCTGGAAATTTGAAATTATGCTACCCAAAATTAGTGCCGAATAACTGAAGGAACCGAATAACTGATTGTCAGATTTGTGATGGCAGACCTGTACACATAAGTATAATTATCAGAGTACAGTGGACCCCCAGTTAACAATATTTTTTCACTCCAGAAGTATGTTCAGGTGCCAGTGCTGACCGAATTTGTTCCCATAAGAAATATTGTTAAGTAGATTAGTCCATTTCAGACCCCCAAACATACACGTACAAACGCACTTACATAAATACACTTACATAATTGGTCGCATTCGGAGGTAATCGTTATGCGGGGGTCCACTGTATATATAAAATACACAATGACTTTAAAACACTTGAAATTTTGGGAAATTTCCAGACTTAAAAGAGAGATGTGCTCATGGAGAATGTAAACAAACCAGGCCGAGGTGCACCGTGTTTGAAAGACCACTCACTGTATAGCAAATTTTGGTCAAAACTTGGAATCGCCTTATTAGCAGAACGCTGTAAGGCAAAACGCTGTAAAGCGGGGCCCTACTGTATTTATATTGTTTATGTCACATAAATTGTGATACATAAATAAGCCGTAGAGTTGATATTAGCGCTATATTGAAGTATTTTCTCCTGCCTCCTGAGAGCCAGGAATTCTGCTGGAATGGATTAATGGCATTTCAATGAGGAAAATTGATTTGATATACACTGTACAAGCAAATTAAGCTACGAGCTCGTCACGGAAAGAATCAAACTCATAACTCAAGGTACCACTCTACTATCAATTTTTAGAAAGCATTAGTTAACCCTTTCACCATTGTAACCCCTAAATTTGAAAGTACTGACAGTGGTGCTATTTTTTTTTTTTTAATGTTCTGAAATGGTAGAGTCTTTTTCTGAAGGTGTTACTAAAAATACTAAATTTGATGAACAGTAGTGAACTTAGGGAGGCACAAAGTGGTGGTCTGGAAACAGTTTAACTTTTCATCTTTGTCTGGGTTTGAATGAAAACTGTCAGATAGCTCATTTCTGCAATATTACAAGTTCCTAGTGATGTTGATTGGAACATGAAAGGCCTAGAGCTATCTTTCAGCTGTCCACATGGTTATTTTGCATTTTGTATCTGTTTGGGATTTTTGTGTACATTTCCAGGCTCTTCTTATATTACACTGCCACACTGCCTTTTCATTTTGAATTTTTATTCACACAAAAAAAATAGAAAATTTACTTTTATGAAGACTACTGCATTATTTTAATAATTGTATAAATAATGTCTTTGCATTCCTGAATGTGTATTACACTTTCCAGTTGGACGTGTATTGGACAAGTGACATCATTTATGTACTCTGGAATGTCGACAAAAAACGAATATTTCCTCTATTGTGAGCTCAATTTGAAGGTATTTTCAGTTCTGAAACCAATCAAAATCATCTCTATTTCTGTAATATATCTTCAGTTCTATCAAATGAGAGCAAGAATACAACCATAAAAACCATATGGAAATACTCCACAAAGTTGCTGTTTTAAACCAAAGCATGGTCACAATTTTTTTTTCATGCACTGCATGCTGCAGGATTTTTTTTTTTTTATATGGTACACACTGCATAGACCCATTCTTTCATATCTAGGCCCGAATTTACTGCTCACAGGTTATCTGAGTGAGCTGAGCTCATGGCATTATCCTATGGATACAGTGGGACCAACACTGAAAGGGTTAACCCCTTAATTGTCCAAATGTAGATCTATGTTCTTACTGCTAGTGCTCTGAACATAGATCAGCATTTTATTTTTCCTGCCTCCAAATTTGGCACGATTGGCCTGAGATGCCTGGTCATTATAGAATGGGTCTCTACACTCAGTGTGCAGTAGTATTGAAAAAATCTGGTACCACTTAGTACCTTGTGGGAGCACCAGTTCAATTGAGTGCCAGCTAGAGCAAACAACGTGACAAACACTAGGGATTCACAGATGTAATGTCGTATTAACACTCTTTTTAAGAGGAAAGTGATGTTGACCAAGAGTTTAGTGGCTCTGAGGTGGATGTGGCTACAAGTGGTTGCAGGAATATCAAAAACCTTGATAGTAACCCATGTGAGACATTTGTGCAACATCCTTTTAATTTTGATACCACTGGTAGTGTCATCCTGCCAGAATGTCCTATAACTTATGCCCTAGGTAAAGAGAAACAATTCTGTGACTTGTAATACACATTCGGCAGGCCAGCTGGCCGGGTGCGTGGGTAGCTGATTGACTTTGGCTGTCCCTATCTCCATCTGTCTGTCTGTATCTCTGTCTCTATCTCACAGCTGGTGCTACTGGGTCAGATGCTGTGCTCCTTCCTTAAGTGGAGGTGACCTGACTGGGTGAGCCATTGGTCTAAGCCTGGGGTTGACATGGACCTGCCCTGCTTGGGCCAGTAGGCCTGCTGCAGTGTTCATTCTTTATGTTCTTAAAAAAATCCAGACGAAGTGCTATACTGTGCTTGTAGATATAAGGCATAATAAGCATGATTGGCAAGTAACATGCATTTTCACTTCTTCAGGAATAAGACATGATGACTGCATCATATGTAATACCTGTTAGTTCATGAGCAGCTCTCTCTCTGAGACATACAGAGAGACAAGCAGACAGAATGACAGATAACCAGAGACAGAGATAAACAGAGACAGCTAGACAGACAGATATGTTTATATGTAACAGCAAAAACAAATAAAGCCAAGGCAGTGCACGATAATCATATGTCACTCCACTGCTGCACGGTCAGCAGTGGAGTGACACTTGTCTTACACCATGCTTCAAGGACTTTCATAACTACTACAGCATGTCTAAAACATTGCTGGGACCGATAAATACTTTGTATATATTTCTGGACAATAGTATGTGACCAAGGCAGGTGAAAATGTTAACCTGTCATTGTGTTTCTGACTGTTTGAGTACTATTTTAGTACCTAATATTAGTGTTAGAACAAACATTGGCTATGAAATCACAAGAACTACTACAAATTGTAATTATCAGAACATAAAATTTAAATAAATAAAAAAAGAAGAATGAAAGGTACATATATCGGTAACACAGTCTTTCATATCTATGCCCAAATTTACTGTTCACAGCCTATCTGAGTGAGGTGAGCTCATGGTATAATTTTATGGCACGGACACTAACTTCAAATCCGTATTATTACACCACAGACGGTGATGTGGTTAAGGAACTTAGATGTCCTCTTTTGCCATGGGCCAAGGGTCTTTGAGTGTATGGAAACAAACTTAAAATGATGGGGAAGTTCACCATATTTTCTAGACTTTTGGGACTCCCTGGAGCTGCCCCTCCTTTCTTGCTTGTGTATTGGAGATAGTGGATGCAAATCTATAGTCCCACACCACCTGCTTGCTGTTTGTGCAGGCTTGAAGATTAATTCCATCTGGACGCTTTTGTTTGCCAACAGATCTGCATAGTTAGAGTAGCTCTCGTATTGTTGGGTATTCCTCAGTTACAAGGCTCATCTTAATGAAATTACATTCCTCATGCCTTGTAGAGTTTCCCTCATATCTTTGGCAAACAAGACCATGGTCCCTGAACCAGTCTGCCAATTCACCCCCACAGATACACCTCTGGTCAGCAAGGATAGGGGCGGCAAGGTGAAAGGCAAAACCACAGCTGATGGTTTGCAAGTCAAGGCATGTAGTAAGGGAGGAGTTGGGGGACAACCAACAATTTCCCCATGTGAAAAGTTCTTACTACTAGGAGGCAGGCTTTTTCCTTTCCAGATGTGGTTTGAAGCATTGTTGAGGCTGTATGCTCCACTGTTAGGTCATCCCAGTGTGACTGTTTGTACAGGTTGGGGGGAGCAGATTTGTTTGCCTAGCTTCATCATGAATCCCAGTTTGCTAAAGAGGCCAAATTCCCTTAACCCATTAACTCTCCGAATGTAGATCTACATTTGCTCACCCAGCACTCCGAATATTTTAATTTATTTTTTTTTTAAATTTAAGAGGGCAATTTTCTGTGTAATACGACCAAAACAAAATTTTAGAACCAGTACTTATTGAGATATAAGACTGGATGCTCACCTGACGGAAACATGAAGTCGTGCCGCTTGCAGAAGTGTTGCCAATATCCCTTTTTATCTCTTTTTATATTATATAAGTTTTATGTGCTGATAATTACAATTTATAGTAATTCTTGTTATTTTATAGCCAATCTTTGTTCTGACACTAATATTAGGTACTGAAATTGTTCTCAAATTGTCAAACACCTGACAGGTGGACATTTACACCTGTCATTTACTATTGTCTAGGAATATATACAAAGTATTATAGGTCTCAGCAATGTTTTAGACATGCTGGAGTATATATGAAACTCCTAGAAGCATGGTGTTAAGTGTTGCTAAAGTGCTGATAGGGTAAGCAATGGAGTGACACGATGACCATGCACTACTGCATGGAACCCTGGC